GGGCGGGGCATCATCAAGACCCGCCGCGAGTAGGAGTCAGTGGCAGCCACCATCCCCAAAGAGTGTCTATAAGCAGTCTCCACAGTCCATCCATCGTCAGGCGGTGGTGCAGGTTTGGCATGAGAGGCATGGATCCAGGAGGCGATGCCGTCTACCTTGATGGCGGTGGGTGTCCCTTCCACCGGGGTTCCAAGTTGGCTGTCCAGTGACGATGAACGTAGACAAAGTCCCCAACCTGGAACTGGTGTGGTCAGCCAAAGGGACCCACACGTCCTTTTGGACCGTCTCCAACGCCTTCAACCTAGCGAGCAGGGATTGAGGGGCATGAGTTTCTGTCCACGGGTCAACAGTGAGTGGTGGTGGGGCCCCGAAAAGGATTTCAAAAGGGGTTACTCCCAGGGGCCCGGGCGTATTCCGGGCACGGAATAGGGCAAAGGGAAGGAGGACTGTCCAGTCTGTCACGCCAGTTTCTAAGGATAATTTAGTCATAGCCTCTTTTAACGTTCTATTCATCCTTTCTACCTGTCCTGAACTTTGGGGTCTACATGAACAATGCAATTTTCAATTAATCCCCAGCACCTTGGCAATTCCCTGACTTACCTGGGCGATGAATGCCAGCCCATTATCTGAACCAATTATCTCTGGAACTCCAAACCGGGGAAAGATGTCTTCAATCTTGGCTACTGTGGTTGTCGTTTCGCTAAAGACTACCGGGCCGGCTTGACTTCCTTCCGTAAAGTCAACTTCCCAATAGCTGCCCGGCCTATTTCCCCTTTCCCTTTCGAGGGGTGGGAATTTCATGCCTTGCAGCATGCCTTGCAGCTAGCGACAGTTCTCTCGGCTAGGGAGGTGAGCTTTCGGATTTTGGACCCAGATGGGTGAGGCGGTGTTGCCATTTCTTCAGGGACGATTATCTTCTCACCTGCCTTATCCTTTCAGACCCCGTACTTATCCTTGACGTATTTGCCAGGCTTTCTGGCCATCTCCCCCTCCTCTTCTGGGGAGTAAGAGAAGGACTTAGGAGGGTCCAAAGAGACTTTTGCTAGCGGCAGGATGTTTAGTCCCAAGGCAGCCTGTTTTGCTTCAACATCTGCCTTCCTGTTCCCTTCCGCCACCTCAGACGTCCCCTTTTGGTGCCCTGGGCAACTTCTTTGGGGGCATGTATGGCCTCTGCTGTCAGTGTAGATGTTGACTCTTCAGCCAACCTGAGGGCTTGTGTTCTGCCTTCTGTGCTGAGGTGCCTTCTGGCAGACTGCTAGACCAGATTACCTCATCCGTGCTGACTACCGCGGTTCCTGCCCTCCTCTTCCTGTCCGAGAGGTAGCTGCTGCCATCTGTGAACCAAATGAGGGGGGACCCGGGTAGGGGTGTGTCTCTGAGATCCCGCCTGGCCCCCGTTTCTTCAGCCAATATCTTCTGACAGGAATGCAGAATCTCTCTCTTTTCCAAGTCTGCTTCTGGTAGCAGAGAGGCAGGATTCAATGTCACGGGGGCCCCGAATTGGACTCTCCCCTCGTCCAACAAGAGACTTTGGTCACAAGGAAAGAGTGGGTGACCGTCCCAGTCCCAAGATCTACAGTCCGGTTAGTCATCCACGGGTATTGCTCATTACCGGTGGCCCCAATGACCCAAGAAGTTTTCTTAGATATCGGCCCCAAGGGAGCTTTTATTGTGCTCCTGTGTCCACCAGAAATTCTACTGGTTTCCCCTCCACTTGGATGGTTACCCTGGGCTCAGGGAGGGGTTCCGAGCCCCGTCCCCCTCAGTCACTGTCCTCATGAAAGGCCAAAATGGTCTTGGCTTCCTTCTCCTTCCTCTGCCTTCTTGGGCATTCTCTCTTCCAGTGTCCTTTTTCTTTACAGTAGGCACATTGATCTCGGTCGAGTGGGAGGCGATCGCCCAGGTTCTACCCTTACCTCTCCCTTATCACCTACCACTGCTGCCAAGATGCGCGTGAGATTCTTCTCCTGTCTACACCTTCTCTGCCTCCTTAACTAAGTCCTGCAAAGTATAAAGCAGATTGGCCAATAAAGGCCATAGCCACCGAAGCCCGCTGCCCCTCGGTCGCAGGGTACCGCCTGAATGCTTCCATTAGTCGCTCAAGAAAGACCGAGGGAGGCTCCGTGGGTCCCTGAAGGACATCCCTTACCTTAGCCAAATTGGTGGGCCGACGCGCGGCTCCTCTGAGGCCGGCCACTAGAATCTGGAGATAGACTGTCAGTCGCTCCCTACCTTCTCATCACATGTACAACTTTTATAAAAACTTTCACTATTTTACATTAGCTCTTAAACCTTCTTCCTATGTCCTTCAAAAATCTATAACCATTATTTTAGAATATTTAGGAAAGGCAGAGGGAAGAGAGAGCAGGTCTAGCACTCTGTTCCCAATAGCCGCTTGAATTTTAAACTGCCACATTCTTCCTACAGATAAAGATCTCAGATTCTGATAAGACTGAAAAGGGGCACAGGAGAATTTTAACTGTGCCTTTAAATCCCCTAATAGAACACGGTGAAAAGTGTCCAAGCAGTTTCACATTGTTTTAACACAATTCTAAATAAATTATTGAAGTCTACTTAAATCTATAAAGTAGTCACACATGACTGAAACCAAAAATTATTCCCAAAGTTTAAACAAAATACAAGATGCAGGTACAAGCCCAAATTCAAGCTTACAATGCAATTAGAAATGATAACAATGGCATATGAGAAAAGCAAAACAAAACAAATTAATATGGCTATCACTTTTTCTACATTAAGAGAAAAATATATGACTTGGCCTACTTCTTCACAAGAGGCACACTATAAATTCCCAACAAATTTACTTAGGTCTGTATGAAACAACCTGGATAGGGCTCAAGCATCAAGATTCCTCATCTGACAAATGAGAATAAACCAATCCTTGAGATCTTTGATCATTACTGCTTATTCTTATCACATGTAATACAATTTAGCCTGCCATATTCTAGGCATTTAGTTACTGCAATTAACTTTTCCTAATTCAATTTATACTTTGAACCTTTAAAGCTGGCAAGCAACATTACATTTCTCAATCACAATTCATACTTAAGTAGCTATATGACTCTGCTTAGCTGATACCAATGACAAAGACTAACCATTGTGGGCTGCTGGAGCAGCATTCAAATGCAAATGAACACATTCTTTACCTAAAGACTCCTGGCCATTCAGGGCCATTCACCACCATTCACATAAACTTGTTACCATTACCATCTAGTTTCCGCCTCATGGCGGGGAATTTCAAGAGCTGCTTACAATGACTTGGGAAACCAGTTTTTAATTTATCTGCTGCCTCCAGCTACTCAACTCCTGGAGGTGAATGGAGGCAGGGAGCAAACGGGTCCCAGGTGACGAAGGCGGTGCTGCCACCAGAGCACTCAGCTTTAAACAAATTAAAGGTTTCTTTCTTTCTCTCTGCTCGCCTGTGGCCGGGCGAGTAAGATGGACCTGGGAGGTCTCTTTCCCAATTTTCCTTTGTCAAGGAGACAACCACACTCCTTCAATCATTTGGGGTTATCAAAAAGAACATCAATCCAGATATCAGTGTATGGAATTTGGTCCGGATGCCCAGGGCTCCTATAGACTATCCGCCGGACTCCCGTGTAGGGCCCCATGTCTAGGGTCCCTGTTGAAGGCCAATCAACCCCAAATGTCGGCCACTCCAATTCACAGTCTCCGGAGAGTGAAGGCATCTACCGAAACACCATAGCCTTCACCTCGTTTTTTTGAAGTCCGGAAAATTTTTAACCATGCATTCAAGGGGACTTAGGTGACTCTCCTTTGAGTTTCCTTGCCCCATTTTTCTCTTTCTTCCCAATTTGTTAGGCAACAAATAATTCCAAAACAAATCCAAAAGAGTAAAAACAAAAACACTGCACTTTTACCAATTCCCACACACTCGATTGCGGCCGCACTCTCTCAACACTCACAAAACACTCACTCAGACCAGAACCAGGGAATCTCCAGACTCCAAACCCAGACAGAGCCAAGGAGTCTCCACTTGAATCTCTTCCACAAACACACGATTGGGGCAGACGGTCGCGGCTGCCTCACTGTCTCAGTAACCAAACCTATCCGATCTTCGCCGGGACTCGAACCCGACACCTGATTGCCGGGACTCGAACCCGACACCTGATTGCCGGGACTCGAACCCGACACCTGATTGCCGGGACTCGAACCCGACACCTGATTGCCGGGACTCGAACCCGACACCTGATTGCCGGGACTCGAACCCGACACCTGATAGGAGACCGCCAGGCGCCCCTGGCTCTCCTGCACCCTTGGGGCGTCCCCCAGGGTTGCAGCCTGTGGCCCTCCGACACGTCTACCGACCACTGTTCGGCCACTCTCACGAGTTGCCGAACGGCTGCGAACTCAGAACCAGATCAGATTACAGAAGTGCGCACACAGAACCAGATCAGATAACAGAACACAAGACAAAGACAGACAACTTCGGGGTACCCCTTCTTACCTCCAAGATCGGTTCTGGGCTTGAGGGGGGGGCCGCTCGATCCCGGACGAGCCCCCAGAATGTAAGGCCTGAAAGACCCCCGGTCCAAAGGATGAGCGGCGACCCCAAATCAAACGCAGAGCCCGAGTCTTGATGCAAAGAGCAGGAGGTTTATTCCAAGCGCTGCGCAGGGACCCACAAGCAGCAGTCCAGAAAAAGACTGCCGCTTGAGAGCCCTGAACAGAGGTTAGTTACAAGCTTTTATAGGCAGAAACCACACCCAGGTGGCCTGGGGAAATTGGCAAATTGGCCTGGGGAAATGCAAACATAAGGTTGAGATTGCAATCTCTTGGCCGTTTCCCGGGCAGTTAGAAACAGGCCTGACCTTACAGTCCTGAGCTTGTCAGTAGCTTCTTAATACAAACACTGGGGATCTAGCCAGCAGCTGAAGTATGTTCAGCCCATACAGAGGGCAGGAACGGTCATGAACAGCCTTCAGACAATGATGATAGGAGATAAATACTCCAGTTCTCTTCTCCATTTCCCAGATATCTCAGCAGTACTGAGCTTGTTACCCAGTGGTAATCTGCTCACTGACCTTGAGCTGGCTTACCTGCCCAGTTTCACTTTTCCATATACCAACCTGTGCTTTCATTTAAATTCTAGTCTTGGGATCTACTTTTGGGGGAAACCTGACCCAAGACAGTAATGTATGCATTTTCCTGTTACTGGCCTTTCAGGTTGTCTTTAGTTTTTCAGATAGCAAGGCTGCAACATATTTATACAAATGTGTAGATATATATGTAGGTTTTGTCTTGGTATTTGTCCATGAGTGAAATTGCTGGGTCAAAGGGTGTGTGCACCTTCATTCTTTTTTTTTTTTTTTAATATATTTTATTGATTTTGTACAGAGAGGAAGGGAGAGAGACAGAGAGCCAGAAACATCGATGAGTCATCGACCAGCTGCCTCTTGCACACCCCCCACCGGGGATATGCCCGCAACCAAGGTACATGCCCTTGACCGGAATCTAACCCGGGACCTTTCAGTCCCCAAGCCAACGCTCTATCCATTGAGCCAAACCGGTCTTGGCATGCACCTTCATTCTTAATAAATCTCGCCAGCATTTGAAAAGGCTGAGTGTCAAGTACTGGTGAGAAGGCCACCTCTGGTGCATGTGGGATGGTTCTCTTTTGCAGTTTTAATTTGCACTTCCCCAATTACTAGTGGGAATGCATGTCAGTGTATGTATTTACCGTATGACATTTGCGTTTCCTCTTCTCTGAATGGCTTGCTTCTCTTTCTTATTAATATATGAGTTCTAAAACTTCTGAATACTAATAATTTTGATTATGTTCTTTGCTCCGTTATTTTCTTGTGGTTTGTAAGTCTTATGCAGAACTGATTTCTATTCTGTGTGATCTCTCTTTTTTTTTTTTTCCTCTATGAAAGATTTTTAGGAAATTCCTTTTTACTCCTGATGTTCTGTATCCCAATTCTATTACTGAATGTAAAGGGCTCAATTTATTACCTTAATTACCTTTTCATGAAATTAAGCCCATAATAGTTAAAAAATTGAATCACAATAGACATACCTAATGCATAAAATAATGCACCCAACTGCGATATTGTTTTTTAAAAATAGTGCAACAAATACTCTTGGGTCCAGCTCTTTGTTCAGGATTAATTTCCAGAAGTAGAAGTTCTGTGTCCAAACCCAGGTTATTTTGAATTTTAATTGATATTGGTAACTTTTTTAAAAAAACAAATCTTTATTGTTCAGATTACAGATGTTCTTTTTTCTTCCCATAGCAACCCTCCACCTGATTTCCCACCTCCACCCTATGCCCTTATCTCCTGCCACTGTCTTCATCCGTAGGTGTAATATTTTTGTCCAATCTCTTCCCACACCTTACACTCCCTTCTCCCCAAGAACTCAGTCCACTTTCTTTCTATGCCCCTGATTCTATTATATCCACCAGTTTATTCGTTCATCAGAATTTTTATTCACTTTTTAGATTCCCTTATTGATAGGAATTATTTGTTGTCACTTTGTTGTTCATAATTTTTATCTTTACCTTTTTCTTCTTCTTCCTCTTCTTAAAGAATACCCTTCAGCATTTCATATAATCTTGGTTTGGTGGTGCATTCCTTTAGCTTTTTCTTGTCTGTAAAGCTCTTTATCTGACGTTCAATTCTAAATGATAGCTTTGCTGGGTAATCTTGGTTGTAGGTTCTTGCTGTTCATCACTTTGAATATTTCTTGCCACTCCTTTCTGGCCTGCATAGTTTCTGTTGAGAAATCAGCTGACAGTCATATGGGTACTCCCTTGTAGGTAACTGTTTTTCTCTTGCTGCTTTCAAGATTCTCTATCTTTTGCCTTTGGCTTTTTAATTATGATGTGTCTTAGTGTGGTCTTCTTTGGATTCCTCGTTTGGGATTCTGTGTGCTTCCTGGACTTGTAAGTCTATTTCTTTTACCAGGTAGGGAAAGTCTTCTTATTTCTTCTAATAGGTTTTCAATATTTTGTTCTTTCTCTTCTTCTGGCACCCCCATAATTTGGATTAAAGTTGTCCCAGAGGCTCCTTACATTATCTTCATATTTTTGGATTCTTTTTTCTTTTTGTTTCTCTGGTAGGGTGTTCTTTTGTTTCATCATTTTTCAAGTCTTTGGTTTGATTCTTGAGTTCCTTTGGTCTAATGTTAAATTTCTGTATATTCTTTATTTCAGACAGTGAATGCTTAATTTCTGACTCGTCCTTTTCTTTTTACATTCTCATTAAGATCCTTAAAGGTCTAAGTTCCTGAGGTTTCTAGAAGATTCTTGAGAAACCTTATAACTGTGGTTTTGAACTCTATATCCAGTAGTTTGCTTTTCTCTATTTTTTTCATAACATGTTTGTCTCCACATTTTGGATACTTCCCTATGTTGATGGAGTGGTTTTGTGTGGTAGGTGACCTATAGGGCCCAGTGGTTCAGCCTCCCCAAACACCTGAGGTGGACACTCTTGGTGCACCCCTTTGTAGGTTGAGTGCATGGTCTTGTTGTAGTTAAGCCTTGATTGCTGTTGGTACACTGAGAGGAACTGAACTCCAGGCCAATTGGCTGTGAGGACCCGCTATGTCTATAATGGAAGAACTGCTGTACTGGAGATACCCTTATGGGGCAGGACTTGTTTCAGTGGGCCTTTGGTGCTCACCGAGTCTGCCTCTTGAGTGTCACTTATGTGAGTTGAAATCTGGTGTTATCTCACACTGACCACTAGGTATACTGGCTCCTGGATCTCCAAGGAGGTGCAGGTCAGCTATACTGTCTGAGGCCACCCAGCAGGAGCTATATATCGAGATCTGTAGATTTCTCCTTTGCTTGGGGTTTGGAAGTTTTGGAGCTGTCTGACCAGAGCTGCAGTTAGGTTGCAAAAGCTGCTGCACACAATTTGGATGGGTTTGTAAATTGGGCAAGGCAGGGCCTCAGGGAATCACTAGGGCATGGCAAACAGCTATCTCCATGTTTCTGCCTCCTGTGTCCCAGTGCAATAAACAATGATTCCTGCACGCACCTCTGCAAGAAAGCCATCCTCATTTTCTGACCTGATGGTAGACCAGCTTTTCCCCATAGGAGTCTGGGTCTCCAGACTCTCGCCGGAAACTGGAGTTCAGAGCAGTTGTGAGCTTGTCTCCCTTTGGACTGAAAACAGCACATCTAGTCACCAGCCAACAGCCCAATTTGCGTGTGCCTCTGTACCTCTGCTTTTCCGCGCTTGTGCACATCCTACCCAGTCTCAACGCTCTTTTCTCTTTCCTTCTAGTTGTAGAACTTCTACTCAGCCAGCTTTCCGGTGGTTCTGGGTGATAGACGCTTTGTCTTTTAGTTATAGTTTTGGTGTGGTTGTTAGGCAGCACGTACAGGTGTATACGTTATGTCTTTGTTTTCGGATATTAACTTTTACCCTAAAAAAATCTATGCCAATTTATAAGGCAAAAAATGCTATTTCATTGGATACTTAAAAATCCAAATATTTCCTAACATGATGGATAAAACATGTTTTAATTTTAATTTTTAAATTATGTGAGGTTTTTCTTCTAACTTTGGTTTCTAGCAATGTCTATTCTTTTAACTTTTAATTTTAGCCATATGCTTGTTATTAGATTACCTTTTGTGTGTGAAGGGCAGTCTATCCTGTTCAATCACTGTAACATCCCATGGAATCTCACCCAAGATTATAAAGTGTGTCTTTTTTTTTTTTTTTTTAATAAATATATTTTATTTTTTACCGAGAGGAAGGGAGATAGTTAGAAACATCAATCAGCTGCCTCCTGCACACCCCCTACTGGGATGTGCCTGCAACCAAGGCATATGCCCTTGACCAGAATCGAACCCAGGACCCTTTAGAGTCAACCCAGTTTTGACTATAAATAGTGTTTTTAAAGGTCTCAGACCTTTTCTTTTAATCATTGAGAAAGTAGTCCTACCTGCTTCTTACTATCTATATGGGATGTACTGTAGTTCTCAACTTAGTGATTCTCTGAGTGAACAGAACTTCCAGAAGTGTGATATGCATAGAGTGATTTTGTTCCCTGTTTTGATTGATCTACTTCTAGTTTAATATCTAAGTTCTAATTCTTCTGTTTATAATCTATTACTGACATTTGGACAGATTTGGCTAGCTCCTTTCTTTATAGGTAATGGATACCGCCAGGGGATTCTGCCATTGTGGTTTCTCGGCATGTTACCCTAGGCAGGTGCTAGGGACCTAATCTTCAGAATTTCTTGAGGATTCAGACAGTTACAGCAACAGATATTTCACAAATGTTGTGTTTCAGATGACAAGTAATTAATGAAAATACATTGCTTTGAAATAATTATCCACAGATCTAATTAACAGAAATAACTTTTTCTAATGTTAAATATATAATTGTTTGGAGGGGATGGGGAACAACTTGAACACATTACTCATTCTTTTCATATACTTCAAATTTGTACTTAATGCCTTTTTCCTCCTGGACATCAGAAACAACACCTGGGTACCTGTAAAAGAAATATACACTGTAATTAAATAATTATCAATTAAAACAATTTTTTTGAAAGAACATTTTATTGATTTTTAAGAAAGAAAGAGGGGGGGGGAGAGAGAGAGAGAGAGAGAGAGAAAGAGAGGGAGAGAGAGGAAGGAAGAAACACAGATATGAGAGTGCAACATCTATTGGCTGTCTCCTGCACACCCCTATTATTAAGCCCACAATACAGACATGTGCTCTGACTGGAAATTGCACTGGTGACCTTTTTGGTGCACGGGACCAATGCTCAACCATCTAAGCCACACTGGCCAGGGCAATGGTTCACTGATTTTTGATAAGGGTATCAAAACAACTTAATGGGGAAAGAGTATCTTTTCAACAAACAGTGCTAGGATAACTGAATAGCCACTTATAAAAGAATGAACTTGAACCCGTTCCTTACACTATGCCAGACCACAGACTTAATACAAGAGTTGATATAATTAATCTTAAAACTGAAACGTTCTTTAAACTTAAATGCTATGAGTTCTCAAAATCAGGCAGTTTCGGTTTCATGCTAAAAATCACTACTACACAGTGAAGCAAGTGTAATCTCTTCTTTTCATCTCCACCACTGCTATCTAAGTCCCTTCATCTTTCATCTGAACTACTGCAACTAACTGGTTTCCCAGCTTCACTTCCTTCTAGTCCGTTCTCCATAAACAGCTAGAACAACATCACTCAATTCAGAACCTCCTTCCCCTGCATTTGATCTGATGCATTTGGGTCTTCCCCTTGCTCACAATGCCCTCAGTGGCTTTCAAGGAGGCTCAGGGAACATGCCAAGCTTGTGTCCGTCATCGGATCTCTGCACTGGCTATTTCTGGTTTCTAGAATGCTCTTTCCTGCTCTAAGCATGGCTGGCTGGTCATTTAGATCCCGGTAATAACACTGTTGTAATTAACCTAGTTATTAATAACAGGAAAGGAGCAAAGGGAAGGCCAAATATTATAGGCACGTCATTTAGGCAGCTCCACCAGGAAGCTAAAGCTTTCCACTCCCCAGGGAGCCACTGGTCTATTCCTTGAAAACAGCTGGGGGAAGGGACGGGACAGGGAGAACAGATGCATGTCCAATAAAGTTGGGGTGTCCCTGGGAAGGTGCCTGATGTTAGTGTCGCCTGGGAACAGGTCATTGGCCAGCATGGGCGTGGCCACCTCAACGGCGAGAAATTGGGGTATTTAATCCTCTGAACACATGAGTTTGCTCTCTTGGTTTCTCTTGCCGTGTTACTCTTGGCTCCTAGCTTGCAGCGTCTCTTGCTCCTGCTTTCCGGCATTCGCCCACATGGCCATCCCCCCCCCCCCCCCCCCCACACACACAGTGGACTAATGGACTGCAAGGAGCCTGATGTTGAAGTGGACCCAGCTGCAACATGGAACAGAAACTCTGGACACTGGCTTTGCTTCTAGCTCTATTGAAACCCCAGCTACACTTTTCCCATGACCTGAATGGCACTTTGGAAACCCAGGGATGTAATTCCACACAAATAAAAATCACCCATCTTCACATGCGAATCTCGGAAAATTCTTTTCCTCAGGATATTGTATGGACCCCACCTCCAGCACCAGTGGGGAAAAGCGTACTCCAATTTCCTTGATAATAGTATAGATATCACTTCAGAGAGGACTGCTCAGACTACACAGCATTTATCACATCACAGTATTTCAATTCTCCACACAGCAACTCTTATTGTTTATCTATTATTTGCCACTCTCTCTACTACAAAAATGTAATCTGGAGAATAGAGAATAGCATCTGTTTTGGTAAACACTCTTTCCCCAATGCTCAGGACAGTGTTTGATGCTGAATACAATTCTCATAGAATGGACTAAGGACTACTCTAGATTTCAGTAAAATCACTAAAACTTGAACATTCCCAAGTCTGTTAAAGCAGAATTCCAAAAATTTTCTGTACTATTTGTCTATAAAACACATTACTATCCCAAATTCAATCTGAGAGACATACTCTTCCCTATAATTCTTTAAAAAAAAAAAAAAATTAATTTCAGAGAGGAAGGGAGGGAGGGAGAGAAAGAAACATCAATGACGAGAGAGAATCATGGATTGGCTGCCTCCTGCGTGCCCACACTGGGGATCAAGTCCACGACCTGGGCATGTGCCCTGACCAGGAATTGAACCAGGAATTGACCGTCTGGCTCAACCACTGAGCAATGCTGGCTGGGACCTTTCCTATAGTGCTTAAGCTATAAATCCAAAAGTGCTTCAGAATAATATATAACATTTTACTTACTCTGGGAGAAGTTTGTATTTCTCCAAATCAATTTCTGGAAAAAATGTATCACTTTCAAATTCCTGCATGATCCTTGTCACAAAGAGTCGTTGATGGCCGGGCTTGTTCATGGCTTCCTTTGAAATAAAACAAAAGTCACAAATTTCCTTAATTATTTGTATCAAAAGAAACAGAACTCAAGATTTTGTTTGTTTTACTTATATAGTCAAGTTTGTACCAGATATGAAAGAATGCTATTTAAATATCCCATTCTTTTTTAAAAAAATATATATTTTATTGATTTTTTACAGAGAGGAAGGGAGAGAGACAGAGAGTTAAAAATATCGATGAGAGAGAAACATCGATCAGCTGCCTCTTGCACAGCTACAATGAAGGTACATGCCCTTAACTGGAATTGAACCCGGACCCTACAGTCTGCAGGCTGATGCTCTATTTTTTTACTTTAGAGCCCTGCAAAGTAGTCTTATTTATGTTGAGAATAGCACTAATCATTATATCTAATTATGAGAGTGATTTAAAATATATTCTGGCTTCTAGTTTGCTTACATGAACTATTTTTTTCATTTAATTGTTCAGTTTTGTCTTTTTTCTTTGGTGGTTGCTTAGGAATTAAGAACCCCGAATTGTCTAGTTACTGGCTATAGAAAAATTTACATATATATAAATGGATAAGATAGTACACTTTCACAAGATTTTGACTAATGAAAACATCAAGGGCACAGTTGGTACATTTATACAAAATGTAATAATGTTTCCATTTCCCCAGGAGATAGTTACAATGTTAGTAGGTAATTTATTCTGCCTCTTCTTTGCTAATGATTATATTTAGCCTCATATTGTTAATGACTTTTCTAACTAACGTCTATAATACTGTTGAGCTCCAAGAAAGCAATACTCTGGCTTGGGGGGGGGGGGGGGGGGAGGAGAATATATATATATCTGAAATTTAAAGTTTTTATCTTTAAAATTCTAAAGAAGGACACAGAACAAATTTTACTTTTTATTTTCAATACTACTGCTTAGAATATTATATCATTTATTCTCTTGACCCAAACAAGTAAATATTCTACCTTTTCTTGCTGTACCAAAATTTAGGAAAATTGAGCAGGACTAACTACTGCAGCTTTTGAAAGTTTTATCAAAGTTAATGATGTTTGGAAACCTTTTCTGTAAAGGGTCAGATAGTAAATATTTTAGGCTTTGTGGGCCATGTAGTTTCTCTTACGTTTAGGCAAATGCAGCCATAGTCAATATTAAAATCAATGGCTGTGGTTGTTGTCCCAGTAAAACTTTATTTACAAACACAGGCTAGTAGACCCACTTTGGCCAATAAGAAGAGAAGCCTAAATGTTCCACAAGCTAGTGTGATGTGAGATAGGTGGATAATGCATAATTATAACCTGGAGGTTCCACTTCCTTATTGTTTACTACATATAGATATATCAAATTATATATATGAATTTAATTTTAAGTATGTATATTGTTTAAAAGGTTGTAGAAAAGGAACCTAAGAAACAGTTTTGTAATCCCATCTAAGATCCTGGTATACCTCTTCTTTCTCAAATAATTAGCCCCCAAGGGTAGGTGCTGATTTTTTTCCTTCCCATAAATATTAATCTTTCTTGAGTGTTTTAAAAGCACAGAAAAATTCCTTTTATTTTCCTCAACATGTTTGAAGAAACAGGGCTAACTCAGTGTGGAACAGAAAATAGTGCAGTCCAGTACGATTCTAAGGGAAGAATTTAGAATGTTTTTAAAATTGGAAACATCAGCTATGTTGAATTGGAGATAAACTGGTAGAGACTTAAAAACTTACTTTTACTTTTTTATTTAGTTTGCACAACAGTATCAACAAGAAGTCAAATTGACAATGTGTCTAACCAATAGCAGGGAAAATGTGCTTCTTTGCTCATGACTAAAAACGTACAAATGGCAGGGAAGCTGAAACAAAGTGGAGTGGAAAAATTCTTTGTGTTTATAGATACCTTTACTTACCTTATAAACGGAACTGCCTCCCACTATCCAAACCATATCCACTTTATTTGTTAATTCTGGTTCCTCAATAAGTTTTAAGGCATCATCCAGACTTTTGGCGAGAAAATGAGCTCCTTTTGGAGGTTCCCTGAGGTTAAGAGAAAGAATTACATATAATTTCTACAAAAGCCATTCATAGTAGTTAAATAATCTGTATGAGAAGTAATAATTATAAAACTAAAATTGTTATATAAACTCCAGGTCGGGGGGACAATTTGCATATTAGCCTTTTATCATATAGGATAATAAATATTCCATTGTATGGATATAGTATATTTTATTTATCTTTGATGAACATTTGGGATGCTTCCAGTTTTTAGATGTTGGTATGAATGATGCTGCTATGAACACTTGTGTACAAGTTTTTGTGTGGTCATATATTTTCATTTCTCCAGGGTATATACCAAGGAGTAGAATTGCTGTGTCATCTAACTCTAGGTTTAACCTTTTGAAAAAGGGCCACTCTGTTTTCCAAATGTGGCTGTATAGCATTATTATTATTTAAAAAAAAAAAATTATTTTTTACAGAGAGGAGATAGAGAGCTAGAAACATCGATGAGAGAGAAACATCAACCAGCTGCCTCCTGCACACCCCCTACTGGAGATATGCCCGCAACCAAGGCACATGCCCTTGACCAGAATCGAACCTGGGACCTTTCAGTCCGCAGGCCGATGCTCTATCCACTGAGCCAAACTGGTTTCGGCATAGCGTTATTTTTAAAGCGACAACTTGATAGTATAGAAACCATGAAAAAGCATCCCCCCCCCAGATGTATTAAGTAAGTAGCTACTCAAAATAACTAGTATGGGGCAGCAAATTTTGAGATTATCTTGAGGTTTCAGTTCCTTCTCACACGGGGAAGAGAGCGGTGGTGAAAGATTGTCTCTGAAAATTTGCAGGAGCAATAGTGATTTTCATGTGCAAATCCTTCTCCTTTTATTCAGGACCCAGTAGTACTTGGTACACAGTAGGTGCTCAGGATATGTGTGGAACTGACCAGCAACTGACCAGGGAAACAGAAGGCAGGATTAAAAATAAGCTCTAAATTTTCCCCCTAAAAACAAACAAACAAAAAAACAACAAGTTTCTGGAAATGGCAATAGTCTGTAAACTTGGGTTATATCAAGTAGAGGGTAATCAGAATATCCTAGTAACCAGGAGAAAGAGAACAGTATGAAGATTGAGGAAGATGGCAAGATACATATCAACATATTCTCCATCATCCAAAGACAAGCAATGCAAATATTCTGGTACACTTTCTTCCAGGTTTTTACCTAAGCTTTTTTAGGAGGGATCTGTGAGAAAATCTATAGAAGCCCGAACCCCCTTAGCCTATATTGGTGTAATGTTTTTTCCTTCTTATGGTTTGATGGTCTTTGATGTGTTCACTTGGCTATAGTCCTGTTCTAATCTAGGTGTTGCTGTGAAGGTGTTTTATAAATGTGATTTGTTTATAATGGACTAGAGGCCCAGTGCACAAAATTCATGCATGGCGGGGGGGGGGTTTGTCCCTCAACCCAGCCTGCACCCGCTCCAATCTGGGACCCTTGGGGGATGTCGGACTGCTGGTTGAGGCCTGTGGCAGTCAGACAACCTCTTACAATCTGAAACTACTGGCTCCCAAACTGCTCGCCTGCCTGCCTGCCTGATTGCCCCTAATCACTTCTGCCTGCCAGCCTGATCATCACCCCCTAACCCACATGTGTCAAACACAAGGCCCTCGGGCCAAATCCGTCCCGCCAGGCCTTGCAATGTGGCCCGCACCGCGCTGTCATCACTGCACTCCGCTGTGTTTCCATCACAATGACAGTTTATGACTGTTCAGTAAACCATTCGGCCCGCGATTTAGGCTGGATTTTAGATTTTGGCCCCTTCTCTGATTGAGTTCGACACCCCTACCCTAACCACTTCCTGGACACTTAACTGCTCCCCTGCTGGCCGATCACTCCCAACTGCCCTCACCTGCCAGCCCGATTGCTCCCGCTGCCCTCCCTGCAGACCTGGTCCTCCCCAACTGCCCTCCCCTGCAGGCCTGATTGCCCCCAACTGTCCTCCCCTGCAGGTCTGGTCCCTCCCAACTGCCATCCTCTGCAGGCCTGGATCCCCCTAACTTCCCTCTCTTCCCTACAGGCCCATTTGCCCCCAACTGCCCTCCTCTGCTGACCCGATTGCCCACAACTACATTCTCCTGCTGGCCATTTTGTGGCAGCCATCTTGTGTGAGGGTCAATTTGCATATTACCTGTTTATTATATAGAATGACTTTAATCTGGGTGGGCCAGATTAAATGAGGTGAAAAGCCTTAAAAACAGAACTGAGGCTTCTCGGGAGAAATTTCCCCTGCAGACATCTGCTTCAGCCCTTGAAGAGTTCTAGCCTGCCCTACAAATTTTGGACTTGCCTCGCCAGCCCCCACAACTGTGTAATCCAAGTCATTGTAAGATATTGCTATGATTACATTAGTAGTTTTAAGAATTAATAATTACCATGCCAATCCCAAAGGGATCGAATTAGACCTTTCTTTAAGGACTAATTCAGGCCAATCACTCCCGCAAACAAACAGACCCCTGAGGTTCAGAAAATTATTTTCGTGGGTTAGGACCAATGTAAACAACAACAACAAAAAAATACAGAAATCAGGATATATCACAAGTAGTATAAATGATATGGAAGCTATGGTGAAGGCAAAAGCACTGGAGTTGATGTCATAGGTAGTTTTAGTGCTATTAAATCCCCTTACCCCCTTCCTGTTCATTTCCAGTGATCAGGAACTAATTATATTAGCCTGGAGGGCAGAAAAATCCATAGCAGAGGCCAACTGGTCGTAAAAAAAAAAACACATGTATTTTGATTCTTTGTGCAACTGAAAAGATTTATTTACATTATATAACTGATATTTGACCCTTCTGAATTGAATGAGTACTAGTTCAAGGAAACCTGCAATTCTGTTATCATAGTGAGATTTAATGCAACTTTTTAAGGAAATGAAATCACCCACTTAAACAGCAGAGTAAGTTGTAACTACTTATTTTCTGTTATCATCTATGTAGTATTAAGCAGCTTCATCAATAGCTACATTCATAGTATTTTATTTTGTCAAACACCAACCTCCAGCATAAGAAATGGGACATGGTTTCTTATGCTGAGTTTATGTTGTAGTACTTACTTGAGTTCTCTACTGAGAACTAAATTAATCCTGTCCTTTAAAGGCCGACTCTTCTCGGGAATGGAGAACCAGGTCTTCCTACCCATAATCACCAAGTTCTGTTTACCTGTAAAATCACAGGGAGAAGAGATGTATTTTGGGAATATATCTGTGTATATATATTCATATACTTGTATGTATGTATAGATATAACGATCATATTGACATCTAGTAAAACTGCTTTAAAAAATTAAAACATTTAACAGCCTTACCAAAATTTATCATTTATCACCCATTATCTATAGTAATTATTTTCCCCTTTGGTTTTATCCAATTTATATACAATATAGTTTTAATCAATTGCAGTCATGTATAATATAGTAGTGAAAAGCAAAGATTCTGTTATCTACCAAGCAAGTCATGTTAATCTTCAGTCCTTTTCTACAAAATGGAGGTGATGTACTAGTTCCTACTTCTAGGATTGTGGGGACTGAAGACTTTGAACAGTGTTTGACTTTTAAAAAGTACTGTTCAACTGTACCTTTAATACAATAGTACTCGCATTTGTGAACTTTGTAGATTTATAATAATAGTCATACTTTTAAAGATAACTGCTTAACATTCCATTCAATTAGCTAAAATACTTTCAATTTGGAAGACCTGGGGAGTGGGTAGGTAGGGGTTGGATGGAGAGAGGTAATAGGGGAGAAAAATGGGAGGTATCTGAAATACTGTCAACAATAAAAATACATATATAAGACAAAATAAAATGCAGGTATATTTTGTAAGAATAAAATGAGCTACTTTCAATTTGTGCTTCTTTCCTTAAAAAGTTTTTATATACAGAACTTCCATTTCTGGTAGAATTATTTAGGGGAAAAAGCCTTGTGAGTCAGATCTCTGGATCAAAGGAATATACACATTTATGATTCCTAAATTAGCTTGATTAAAAAAACCCCCACTAATATTTACAAACTACAAGTAGTAGGACTAGTCATTTTTCCATATTTTGTTTCCCATTTCCAGACTTTTTTATATTGATAAAAAATCAATATTTTTAATTGATTTTATATAGAGAGAAAGGGAGAGGGAGAGAAACATCGATTGGCTGCTTGCTGCACACCCCAACCAGGGTTCAAGCCCACAAGTGGGGCATGTGCCCAGATTGGCATCTAACCAGCAACCTTTAGGTGCATGGGACAAGCCCAACCAACTGAGCCATCGAGGGTCAGACTACTTAGGATTCTAGAGGGTGGTTCATTTCAATTTTTTGGCTTCAAACTCTTGCATTTTCTTTTCATCAGTGACTTAAGTCCGTGGTTGGCAAACTGCGGCTCGAGAGCCACATGCAACTTTTTGGCCCCTTGAGTGTGACTCTTCCACAAAATACCACGGCCTGGATGAGTCTATTTTGAAGAAGTGACATTAGAAGAAGTTCAAGTTTAAAAAATTTGGCTCTCAAAAGAAATTTCAATCGTTGTACTGTTGATATTTGGCTCTGTTGACTAATGAGTTTGCCGAGCACTGACCTAAGTGCCAAGTCCAGGAACTTTTATCTGTTCTGTTTAAGTTATGCTGCACCTGCTCCTTTCTATTTCCCCGTTTAATCTGCTATTCCTCCTCCAATGACCAAACATTCATCTTAGGTTTTAAATGGGTATCCCCTAACCCCATATTCTTTTCGTTCCTTATCCTCTTCTCTTTAATGTCTCAATTCACCCAGCACCCTGTGCCTGAATATCCTACAAGCACCTCCGTATATTTACAATTGGATCCTAATTCTCCATATCACCCAGACTCAACCTGAAAACCAGAGGGTTCTTCCTTGATGCCTTCCTGGCATCACCTTTAACTTCTTCATCTCCAAATCGAGTCATGTAACTGTTCTTTGGACTTTCACCTTCACTGCCGCGTTAGTCCAGGCCTTACCACGTCAGGCGGCTGTTTCAAAGCCTCCTCTGGCCTCCAGAGCCAACCTCTATGTAGCTGCCAATCTGTCCAATTTCAAAGAACTTTTTTTTAAATTTAAAGTCTAATAAACATTGGGAATTGCACACAGATCTATGGTAAGACAGAAGGTCCTTGATTTCTATGGAAAAACTTTAAAGAAAGTATTTTATTGATTTTTTACAGAGAGGAAGGGAGAGAGATAGTTAGAAACATCGATGAGAGAGAATCATCGATCAGCTGCCTCCTGCACGCTCCCTACTGGGGATGTGCCCGCAACCAATGTACATGCCCTTGACCGGAATCGAACCCGGGACCGGGACCTTTCAGTCCGCAGGCTAACGCTCTATCCACTGAGCCAAACCGGTTTCGTCTGGAAAACTGTGCACTGGTTAAAAAAAAAAAAAAAAAAAAAAAAAAAAAGACCCTTGGGGAATCTCAAAATCACTTACAAATCCCCTATTACCTTCTGCGGCAGTCGTGGTGGTCATTCTTTGGAAATACTTGAACTCATTCCTACAAGGTAAAGACACGTGGATTGTGACTCAGGACGCTTTCCCGTGGGCTCAGGCTCCACCACCCACCCCGACACACAGCGCGGGGGCCGGGGCGGCAGCCAGGCCTGCACTGAGCCCGGGCCGGCAGGGCGCCGGGACGCCGCCTCGCGGGGCGGAACCCCTCCCGGGCTCCCGGCTCGGGCTCCGGGAGCGGAAGGAAGGCCCGGCCCGCTCCCGGCAGCCTGGGTCTCAAGTCCAACCCAGCGCCACCCCGTCCAGGCGCCTGGATCCGGGGCAGCTGCACACCCGCCCCCCCGGCCCCGCCCCCCGGCCCGGCGGGTACCTGAGCGGGGGCCAGGGCAGGTCCCCGTTCTTGCCGATGCCCATGTTCTGGGACACCGCGACGATGCTGTTGAGAGTTCGAACCATGACGGCGGCGCCGTAAAACTCCGGGAGCCACTGCGAACCGAGCTTGGCGCGAAACGGCGGCCGCCCCGCCCCCTCGGCCGCATTGGCGCCCGGAGACCCCGCCCCTCCCCTCCCCGCCCCGCCCCCGCCCCGGTGCAGGGCGGGGAGGTGACGTGCTCGGCCCCGCGGGCGCCCGGGAACTGGGCCGCGGGCTCGCGCGCCCGGCTCGGCCAAGCCCCCTGCAGTCCGTCTCTGCACCGCGATGTCGCGCCGGAAGCCACGCGGTGGCGGCGCGGCTGCCGCTGGCCCGGCCCCTGCCAGGCAAGCGGTTCTGAGTAGATTCTTCCAGGCCAGCGGGAGCCTGAGATCCACCGCCTCCCCCACCGGAGCGGCGGCGGAGGAGGGAGAACCTGACTCCGGCTCCGCAGCGCCTCCAGCGTCCGCTTCCCGGCCTCGATCGCGGCCACACGTGGTGGGTGTGGTCCAGGGCTGGGCGGGCTCACCGGGGCGGGGCTAGGCGGGAGGGGCGGGGCTCGATGGCGGGGCGGGGCTTGTAGGTGGAGCGGGGCTAGGTGGGCGTGGCTTGTAGGTGGAGCGGGAGGAGGCGGGGCCCGTGGCGCGAGGATTAGGGAGTTGAAGGCGCTGGAGGAGAGAGCTTTGGGCGGATTCTGGCAGGTGAAGATGGGAGAAGCCTGGCCATCCTCCATCCTGAGTGTAGTTCAAAGATTGCAGTTTCCACTGGGAAAATAGACTTGAGGCCAAAATCACACAGATTCTTACAGGCAGACCAGAGACAGCAACTCAGGTCTTCTGACTCCCATTCTGATGAGGGTAGGGGCCAAGGATACATCTTTTAACCTACATCCTCCCTCCCCAGCCACCCCCTCTTTTTTTTTTTTTTTTGGTCCCTGGATTGAATGTTAAGAGGAGTTCTATTTATCTTATTTATTCGGGTTTTGTTAAGTGCCTCCCTTCGACTGACTATAATAAGTAGTTGTGGGTATTTTTTGCTTGTTTTTCACCAGAGACATTGCCACCTGGGAATGCCTAAGGGGGAGCTCTCACTGGGGTCCCTGATAACAGTATTTCTCAAACTGAGGATGTTGAAGGGGATTGCAGATTGGCTTTCAGCCACCTTCTAAATTTTCATGAGGGTGACTGCTTGGCTGCTTCAAAATCTTGTTTCCTTAATTTATATTTTTCCCATGGAGTGATTGGTTCTCTCCTGTTTTGGTTTTTTGACAGTAGTCTACATTTTTATGAATTCACCAAGATTTTATTTTATACCCACCTTTATACCCTTCATCAGAGTATCTGATGAAGGACTTAAGCTTTTGACAGGCTTCCTGCCAACAAATGTTCACAATCTTGTGGCATCTTCCATGGTGAACATAACATGTAAATTACAATTAATATTTCAAAAATGATACTGTTCTTTTATTGTCTATCTAATTTCACCTTTACTAAATAAATAGTTTTTCTCTCTCTTTTTTTAATAATATATTTTATTGTTTTTGTACAGAGAGGAAGGGAGAGAGATAGAGAGCTAGAAACATCGATGAGAGAGAGTCATCGATCAGCTGCCTGTTGCACACCTCCCACTGGGGATATGCCCGCAACCAAGGTACATGCCCTTGACCGGAATCGAACCCGGGTCCCTTCAGTCCCCAAGCCGACGCTCTATCCATTGAGCCAAACCGGTTTTGGCAAATAGTTTTTCTCTTAAAGGTGTTTTATTTAATGTGTGTAAGTAGAGTAATCCAAGTTATATAATTTGAAATAAGTGAAGGCTGACGGAGTAAAAGTGGCAGCCTTGGTTCTAATTAATTCTAACAGGACATGAGAAGCTGAGGTTAGGGACAGTCTCCACCTTGTCTTTGATGATGGTAAAAACAGTCACCCATAGGTCTTTTCAGAACTCCAAGTAGGTGATTGTAGGAAGGAAGGATGGCAAGGACCTAGCTGTCATTTCAAAAGTAAGGTTTAAATTATTTTGCATACATAGTGTTTTGAGATTGAGAGAGAACACATCATTTTCTAACTTTCCTGACATAGGTTGCAGAAATCGACAGAAGTACAAAGAGTCCACCAGAGGATGATGGGCCTGTTAAAAAGAAAGCAAAGAAAATCCAAGAAAAGGAAGGTCAAAGTGATTCAGGAACGTCTGGGAACCCTGGTGAGTTCCGTGGCATTGATTTTTCATTCTCACCAGTCATGGCTCTGGTACTCTTGCATTATCCAGAGGGCAGAGAAGGCTATTTGGAGAGTTTTGCCATTTTTTTTCCTTTGTGGAGAAAGGTCTCCGCTGTGCTTGAGTGAGTGGCCCCCTCCACTCGTGGTGGTGGTGGTGGTGTACGTAGGAGGTTGGGAGAGTGGAGGTAGGGGCTGGAGTTCCCTCCAGGCAGAACATTTGAACAGTTACAATGTCAGGACATGCAGATCCCCCCTGTCAGTTTTCCAGTGTGGAACTTCTTTTTCTGTATGCGAAAAGGTTTTGGACAAAAACCACCATTCCTAAGGTCCTAAACCTCTGTATGTGGTGTTGGATATATAGGTGGGTGAGCAGATTTTTCGCCTGGAGAATTTGTGATAACGGAAGACAGAAAACGCTTCTTTTTCTTTTCTTAATTACCCTCAGACCTGAACTGATATAAGCCTTTCTGAACTGACAACAGCTCAGGAACGAAGCTTTGTGGTGGAACCTTCCTTGAGAGTAGGGGAGCAGGATAGGGAAGGTGGCAAGGAGGGCATAAAAGTACTCACCAGGGGGTCTCCCCACACTCATGCTAAGTCCTTGTCCCTACGTCCGCATTGCTCCAGATCTGGCTACATGAACTCTGAAGCTTGTAGAACTAAGGCTATAGGAATGAAAGTTTTTGAAATACGAACTTTACGTACAGTTTACTTAACAAAAGAAAGTAGTGGGAAGGAAAGAGGAGCATCACCAGCCAGAAGAGTCGCTGGCTACTTCATCTTAAGCTTTTTTCTTTCTTTTTTTTTTTTTTTAATTACAGTTGACATTCAGTATTATTTTATGGTTCATGTGTACCGCGTAGTGGTTAGACATTTATATAATTTATGAAGTGATTCCTCCTGGTAAGTCTAGTACCCACCTGACACCATTCATAGTTATCACAATATGGTTGGCTACATACCATATGCTGTCCTTTACATCTCTGTCACCTCAAGTTTCTTAACATGTCAGTTTTAGGTATTCTTTCTTTTGTAAGATTTGCACCCCACCCCCATCTTGGGAATTTTATTTTTATTTTATTTTATATTCTTAGGAAGGAAGCCCTTGTATAATATACAAACTTATACTGTTGAAGATTGATTCAAGTATTTCTTTTGTAACGGTGAGAGTAATAGTAAATAGGATGAATATATACAATTGGAGAGACCTAAATAGACATTTTTCTAGCCATGAGATTAATAGGAGATAAGATAAAGTATACATCTGAAAAGAGGTTTAAATAGAAATATGAAAAGTTTTAACCTGTTAGAAATGAGCAAAACAGAACTCTTGCCTTCAGAGGGTTTTTGCTTTAAAAGGGAAGGTAAGAGATGATAAATGCAGTGCAGTTTCCATCTCTGTAATAGTAGCTACCTATAAAATAATGTTTTCTGTTATATAGCAAATAACCAGTAAATGTATAGCAAATAATCAGTTTCCCTTCTTTTATGGATTGATTGCTTCTGGAGTAACGGCTGATTGGCAGACCGTCATAAGTTCTATAGAGAAATTTGATCTGTTGCAGGAACGTAGAGAAAGAAAATGACTTTTAAGCTGGGGAATTAGCAGAGCGTTTCATGGGAAAGGTAGCTTTGAGATGGCTCTTGATGAAAGAGTACAATTTTGTCCTGTGGAAATGGGGGGGCTAGGCCTTACCAGGGAGAAAGAATAGTGTGAGCAGAGCTGTGGAGGCAGGAACGCAGGTGTGTCTGGAGTGGTGATCCGGCTTCCTCCTGCACTCCTGGTGTCAGTGTCTTTGGGTCTTTCCACTGAGCTGGTTGGATTTCCCAGCCCAGAGCATCCCAGCTTCCGCCTAGGGAAGAGCTTTGTTCTGAGCAGAGGCTCTCAGAGAGGTTCTCATCCTGTAGTCAGACTGTATTCCATGAGTGTTTCTTAGCTTACAGTCAGACTGAATTTCCATTAGTATTCTTTCGTCTTGGGCACAGTACTGCATCTCAGCCGGGCCTGATTTACCGTTTCCAGAGAATTCTTCAGTCCTCTGTAGATGTGGAGGAAGGACAGTTGTCCTTGAACTTAGCGTAGGCTAAGGGTGTCTAGGGATCAACTTACTTGGAACCAGTCCTCTTTATTTTATGGCAGAACCTCCCTTCATTCTACTTTCAGAGCTATTGGTGCTCTAATTCCTGAACCTTTTAAGCATTTTGTGTTGTAAATATAGGACTGGTTCTTGGTTTTCTTCACTACCCATTTAGGCTTTAGCTTTCAAGGATGCCAAATTGGTTATTGCTCGTTCATTTTTCATTTTAGCTTCAGATATTTCATTTGCAAGTCTCACCTCTCCTTTTCTTTCTATACTTATGAGGTTATAGGTGTGTGTTTTTGTGTGTGTGTGTGTGTGTGTTTGTTTTTTTGTTTTTTAAAAGCAAAATCCTGTAGTTTCTTGTGTTTTTTTTAGGACTAAGTGAAATTAGAAATTTAGATGTATGTTTCAAGTATGCCATCTTTACCCGGAACCTAGGTTTCTTTATTTCCTTATATCACAGCTAGAGTCATTGCTTAATATGAAACTCCCTCTTAACAAATCCTATGCTGGTTATGAATTGATACGAGACAAAATACTATTGTTATATTTTCTTCTGATTTGCTAACTAAGAGCCAAGGAAATGTCTGAGGACCAGGATTGTTTTAAAGTCTCTGGAAAAACTGAAAGAATTCTGCTGCGATTCCGCCCCTCCTCAAAACAGAGTTCAGAGGGAGCCTCTGCAGGAGAGGTTTGCAGTTCTGCCAAAGTGTACTGATTTCGACGATATCAGTCTTCTGCGTGCAAAGAACGCCGCTTCCGCTGAAGATTCCAAGTCTAAAACTGGTCGAAAGGTATGTAGCATTATATTGATGAATACCCAATACCCAGCATAGTAGGTTCTGTGCATCCACTCAGGGCATGGTTCCCAAACTTGGCTGATCTCTTGAATAAGTTGAAGGAACTTCCACTTTTTAAAATTTTGAAATCCCTAGAGTTTCTAATTTACTATGTAGTAAGGAGGAATGAATTGGTTTGTATTAAGACAAAATAAAGCAAAAGCCTCAAGTGATTCTGATGTATGATGCCTGAATCAGGAGCTGTTCACTGGCTTAGGGGATTCTTTGTCGATAGTATAAGCACAGTTTCTTACAGTCCTCCTTATAGTTTCCATGATTAGCCTGGATAGTTATGGTGGGCAAATTATATAGATGTTTTAAGGTTTTCAAAGGTAAACCAACTGAATATTGTCCTCCTACTGTTTTGTAACAAAATTCGTGCACAGGGATGGGGGGCATCCCTCACCAGCCTGTACCCTCTCTGTTTCGGGATGCCTTGGGGGATGTCTGACTGCCGGTGTAGGCCCCAACCCGGATGGGGCCTAAACTGGCAGTCGGACATCCTTCTCAGAATCTGTGACCACTGACTCCTAACCGCTCACCTGCCTTCCTGCCTGGTCGCCCCTAACTGCCCTCCCTTGCTGGCCTCATCACCCCTAACTGCCTTCCCTTGTCAGCCTGGTTACCTGTAACTGCCCTTCCCTGCTGGCCTGGTTACCACTAACTGCCTCTGCCTTGGCCCCCACCACCGTAGCTTTGTCCAGAAGGATGTCTGGTCTAATTAGCATATTACCCTTTTATTAGTATAGATGTGAAGAAGCACTAAAATCTCTAAATTACTGTCACCCCAATAAATTTGATTAAAAAAATCTTTAAATTACAACACTACTTTTCTAAAAGTTTTAATCATGGTTCTTTTTGGAATTATTTATGGAATATACTATCTTCTAGAGTCTAAACTGTGCTTGGAAATGTAGAATATTGCAACTTTAGCTGTTCACATGCCTGTTGAAAGTGATTCTGCTAGAAAGAGAAAGATTCTTGCCTGCTCATTATGCCTTACACACCTGGAATAAATAATGAAAAGGAAAACATTAATTACAATAGATTTAATGAAATTAAATGTAAATAGAAGTATACAAAACATTAGAATGTTTAAACTTTCAAAACTGCATTAATTACATAGTAGTTTAGTTTTGCTCATTTTTTTGGGGGTCTTTTACTTTGAAAATTTTTTATTTTTTACTTATTTATTTATTTATTTATTTAATTATTTTTTAAAATATATATTTTATTGATTTTCCACAGAGAGAAAGGGAGAAGGATAGAGAGCTAGAAATGTCGATGAGAGAAAAACATCGACCAGCTGCCTCTTGCACACCCCCTACCCGTTGGTTGTGCCTGCAACCAATGTACATGCCCTTGACCGGAATCGAACCCAGGACCTTTCAGTCCACAGACTGACGCTCTATCCACTGAGCCAAACTGGTTTTGGCTACTTTGAAAAAATTTTAAACCTACACAAAAATTTGCCTTAATATACTGTGTACTCCTCAAATTCACCAATTATTAGCTTTGTGTCAAATTTGCATTCTCTCTCTCTGGGAACTGATGTTATGGTTAGTACTATTGAACCTATAAAACTCTCTTGGTTGCCAGGACAAGACACTTCCTGATCTCAGTCATTTTGGATCATCACATGGGAGCTACGAAAACTTACAGAAAATTTCTGATTCTAAACCACCTAACAAAAGGACCAAAAGCATCTACACGCCATTGGAATTACAGTACCTAGAAATAAAGCAGCAGCAGAAAGATGCAATTTTGTGTGTGGAATGTGGGTATAAGTATAGATTCTTCGGGGAAGATGCAGAGGTAAGTTGTTTTTTCAAACACTGTTTCATGTTTTTCTTGTTCAGCCATAAATATTTTCCAATATTTTGTTTCATTTTCTAACCTTATAGAGATGTGAATGTAATTGCCCTTTAAAATGCTGTCATTTAAAGTAAAACTTAAAAATAAACACAAACAAACTTGGTGAGTGCTGACTTGTCGGTGAGAAGGTGAGGAGTTTCTGTTGGGATGTCGGTGCTTATTTTCCATGGTCTTAGCTCAGATCAAACATTGATTGAACCATAATAATGTGGGTATCTGTGTTTCATAAAGAAGATTTATTTTATTTATTTATTTATTTATTTATTTTTATAATATATTTTATTGATTTTGTACAGATAGGAAGTGAGAGAGATAGAGAGTTAGAAACATCAATGAGAGAGAGTCATCGATCAGCTGCCTCTTGCACACCCCCCACTGGGGATATGCCTGCAACCAAGGTACATGCCCTTGACCGGAATCGAACCCGGGACCCTTCAGTCCCCAAGCCGACGCTCTATCCATTGAGCCAAACCGGTTTCGGCCTAAAGAAGATTTAAACAAGAAAAAAAAATTGAAATATAAGTTCCTTGGTTTACCCTTAATTTATGAATTTTCACAGCCAGCAACATTAAGTCTTTTTTTTTTTTTTTTTTTTTTTTTTTTTAATATATTTTGATTTTTTACAGAGAGGAAGGGAGAGGGGTAGAAAGTTAGAAACATCGATGAGAGGGAAACAATGATCAGCTGCCTCCTGCACCCCCCCCCCCCCCCCCCCCCCACTGGGGATGTGCCCGCAACCCAGGTACCTGCCCTTGACCGGAATTGAACCCGGGACCCTTGAGTCCACAGCCCGACGCTCTATCCATTGAGCCAAACCGGTCTTGGCAACATTATTAAGTCTTAATGGAAGAGCCTATTAACTGTGCCAGCCACCAACACATGTTTGAAGTCTTACAGGTCTCTGTATACTAGTCGTCTTGCTTTCTTAGTCTAAGTTGAGTTTGTATTTACTGTAATTTTAGGTATGTGAGATAGGCCTAATTAAAATGGTTAGAAGTGAATTTGAGCACTTGAGGGCAGGCTTAGGGAAATGCTTTGTTGGAGTCCTGAGTGATTTTCATGATTCATAGTTTTAGGCCTGGTTGGGTTGCACACCATCGGAGACTGATGAGGTGGTACTTCTGCTGCCTTATGGTTGGGAAGGGAAGACTTGACCAACTTCTTTTTCCTTTCAGCTTCCTAAATACTGTTGTGGTAGAAGGTGGTGTTGTCTAGTCAGATGACATTATGCTGTGTTCTGTGATAAGAAGTTAGATCTTGAAACAGTCAGCATGTTCCCTGCAGACAGGAACAAATATGAGCTGGCATCTTATAAGTGAAGGGGTGAAAGGAAATGCTGTTCTCTCCCCTTCTCTCGAGGTCAAATGATAGATTTAGCCTTGACCACAGTAGAGGCTCATGTTTTTCTGTCCTATCCTTCAGGGATGAACTAATATAGTTCAGAAATGGCGGGGGAGAGGGGGGTAGGGGGAGAACGAGGGGAGTGAGAATGCTGGAATGATGAGCGTTCTGTGGCTCTAGTGGGCAGTCTCTGAGCCATGGTGCTGTCTGGAAGGAAGCAGAGAGTCAGGTGGTACTGCCTGGTACTGCATTTCTATCACTCATGCATCATCAATTAGCTAGCCACACCAGGGGGTTCTCTTCTCAGTTCCTCAAAGAAGCCTTCTGTCCAAGTAGGTTTATAATTATGTATACATACCTTAGTATCTCCTGTAGTTTTTAGTTATTTGCATGTGGTATCAAATAATTATTCCAATACAGGGAAAGCACAGCCCTTTAAAGTGCTAAGGACATAGAAGCAGACCTGTTGTATTCTTCTGAGTCATTTATAATAGGTACAGATATTGACCCTAAAGTTAGGCCATGGGAAAGGCCAAAACACCAGGCTAAGCTGTTGGCTACTACACAGGGAATGACTTTTAAACTTTTTATTGATATATTATGCAGATAGAGAAGGACACACATCCTAAGTGTTAAAAATCAGTGAACAAATGCCACACAGGGAATCTTAAAATATACATTTATTGATATCTTCTTTGTTATTTTTTAGATCGCAGCCCGGGAGCTCAATATTTATTGCCATTTAGATCACAACTTTATGACTGCAAGCATACCTACTCACAGACTGTTCGTTCACGTGCGCCGCCTTGTGGCGAAGGGATATAAGGTCGGCTTTGGCTCCCACTTGTGGGAGAGAGGGATCTGAGTCTCTTCCAGAGTGAAAACATGTTTTGTACAGTGGTAGTCTCTAATTGGTTTGGGAATTTGGCATTTTGGGAAAATGAAAGTGTCATAATTAGCTTTATATCTTCATGAGTTTTAACATATTATATATTTAGGGTAAAAATTTAAAAGACTAAATAAATGTTTCAGAAATAACCTTTTAAAATCTCACTATGTTTAAAAATACTTTTCATTACATTTGATATTTAATGTTTCTTTTTGTTGAAGGTAGGAGTTGTGAAGCAAACCGAAACAGCAGCATTAAAGGCCATTGGGGACAACAGAAGTTCCGTCTTTACCCGGAAACTGACTGCTCTTTATACAAAATCTACGCTTATTGGAGAAGATATCCTTTTTTTAAATAGGAAATACTCTCTTAAATTTTAGAAATCTTTGTTTCAAGTAACATTTAAAAAATACCTGTTCTTTCTTTCAATGGGTATCTTTTTAATGAGATGAAGCAGTATTTTACTTTGACCTTTGATTAGTGTGCTTCTGAAGAGCTATGGGTTGGTAATAGCTGGAAACAAGCATTTTTTTTTCAAATGCCATAGTAAAAGGAGAGTGTATCAGACTTTTAGAGCATGAAAAAGGACCGTCTCATACAAGAAGATAGCAGGTTAGCAACTGATTTGGAATCACATCTTCCCCAGACCTATGTGGAGAGTGGTTAGGCACTTAGGGCCTACAACCCCTTCAGATATTCCTAACACAAGAGGAATAAGGAGTTAAAAAATAACTCCTTAGCTTCAAAATGAGAAAAGAAAGCTACAAAGTCAGCATACAGTTAACTGCTTATAAAACATAGGCCATCTTCATTAATTGTTAGCTTCATAAAAATTGTATTGTTTTTGAAAATGGACTATAGGTGAAACTTTCTTTCTAAAAATCCTTAGTGTGGATCCTGATTGCCCCAACATTTATGGTCTTCATAATAAATTTAATGAGTTACTTGAAACAAAATGACTTTATTAGCAAAGTCATAAAATTCAATTTTTAAAAAACTCCAAATAATTATGTATAAAATGAGATAAGTGTGTATTTTAAAATGTGTACTGTGGGTTGGAGTCAGGTCTCAGAATAAAAAACATATAGAGATAAGGCCTTAAATGATACTATGTAATATTTATAATAGTATATTACAAATCTGCATATTTAGAGACCTGTTTAGCTTCTACCCAAGTTATGAAGACTGTTTTGCTTTATTAGTGTCATGAATAGGGGATGACTGTCACTCAAAATGGACCCCAAACCATTAACAGCTCTGGTATTCTAAGCTGATCAGGCTATATGATTGGTAATTTTATTGTTTCTTTTGCCTGAACTTGAGTCTCTTAATTGAAACTTGCTCCTAAAACAGTATTCTTCCCTGCTTCTCTTTTGCTACTGCTATAGCTTTTATCTGCTGATGCCCAAATTGGATGTCCCCAGACTGACCTTGTCTAAAGTCAGCATTTATCTCCGAGAATTTAATAAATGGATTCACACACATAGACATGCATGAAAGTATGTTTCTATTTCCTTTTTTAGGTTTTCTGTCCTCCTGTCTTTAAAAAAAGTTCTCTTGCTATTTCTGAGAGCTATTAGGCACTTTAAAGGAGGAAAGTAATTTATACTAAGTGTGCATGCTTTGACTTATGGAATTAAACATAAGGGATTGTTAAGGATTCAAGTCTCAGCATCATCCAAGAAAAGAAGAGGGTTAACATTTGGGCTTGCACAAGGTCTGGGGATCTCTCCTAAGTCCTTTGGAAGTGAGAAGGTAATAGTTGTCGGTCCTCATGAGTTTTACAGTATATCTTGGGGGAATGTAATGCATCTAGCTATGATCAGAGTAAATCAGAAAAATGAATGCGTATGGGAGATTTGTGCACAGAGCAAGAATGCCTGGAAAAATAAACCACTAATTTAAAGGAGAAAAACATAATATTAATGGGAATGTATATTTTTCTTTAATAATTGTTACATGTGAATCCTTTAGTTCAGCTGGATGATGCTATAGATATCGATGAGATAATGACTGATACCTCTACTAGCTACCTTTTGTGCATCTGTGAAAATAAAGACAATGTTAAGGACAAAAAGAAGGGGAATGTTTTCATTGGAATTGTGGTAAGTACTTTGTAGGTAAAGAACCAATGATATATGTTCACGGTATCTAGAAATACAGTATGAGCAATCATGTATGGTTTATAATAAGGATATCTGATGAAGTGTGCCCTCAAGTAATTATACTTAAAAAATGTTTTCTCATAATTTCATATGTTAAATTATTAGCTACAATTTTCTCACATGGCTACTCGTCACTCTATGCTGTGGAGAGATACGTAGTTTTTGTTCACGTGCCTTAGGAGTTTAGGGTTGAAGACAGACATAGTGATAGGCATGGATTTGAACAATATACAGATAGTGCAATAAAACACTAAACTGACACATGCATGGATACCAAAGGGTTTTGCAGATTTCCTCTAGAGCAGTGTTCTTCAAAGTGTGGTACACGTACCCCCAGGGGTACGGGAAGAGTTTGGTGGGGTTACACGTTGCACCGGAGTTTGGTGGGGATATGCACTGCACCGTGCTTAGCTGCACCTAATTCTACGTTCTCATGAGTACGAGGGGTACTCAGTGTTACGAAAATTATAGAAGCGGTACACATATGTCAAAAGTTTGGGAAACACTGCTCTAGAGGTTTGAAATTAAACACAGATGATTATGGGATTGTTGTGTACAGACATATTTCAAACCCTTTAGAAATGGAGTACATACTAGTGAGTGTACCATCTTTGCTATTTCCATGCTTAACTTATGCTCTGTCAGTTATAATTGGGAGAAGTAAGTTTTCTGTGACATTGAATTTTTATGTTTTCAGGGAGTGCAGCCTGCCACGGGTGAGGTTGTGTTTGATAGTTTCCAGGATTCTGCTTCCCGTTCAGAGCTAGAAACTCGGATATTACGCCTGCAGCCGGTGGAGCTGCTGCTTCCATCTCAGCTGTCAGAGCAAACAGAGATGCTCATCCACAAGGCCACAGCTGTGAGGTAAGTTGGCACATCACTGGAGAACAATGAAGATTTTGAAACATAGGTTTACAGTTTTTAAAAAGTTTTTACTTATGCCGTGGCCAGGTGTCTCAGTTGGTTAGAGTGTCATCTAGTACACTGAAAGGTTGCAGGTTCAATTTCTGGGCAGGGCACATACCTAGGTTTCAGGTTCAATCCCCAGTCGGGGTATGTACGGGAGGTGACTGATCAGTGTTTCTCTCTCACTCCAATGTTTTTATTCTCTCTCTAAAAAATAAAAAAACAAAAAAACAAAATGAACATACCCTTAGGTGAGGATTTTAAAAAAAGTTTTAAAGAAATTACCTATTATATCAGCTTAATGTAGGCCCTTAGAAGTTGATCTTATTAAAGGAGTTTAATGATATTATTTGATAAATAACATTCAGTTTTTGGAAATACTTTAGAGCTCATTTCTTAGAGTGTTTATATAACTTTGACAAGTTTGCTACAAGTTTCAATTTGTGGTCGTGTCCATGAGTTTGGTTCATTAGATCTAAGTTCACACCTCTTATTTATAAGGCAGTATTCGAGGTAGGCACTGTGGCATATGGAAGAAGAAGATGTGGTTGTGGTCTTTGTCCTGCAAACTTTATAATCCACCAGGAGAGACACATGTACATACCTTCTAGATTCACAAAGCACCATGTCTATAAAGTGACAAACCTGAATGTGTCTAGTTGGGAAGATTCTGTATTGCCACCTGGACGAGTGTGGTGGGAAAAGAGACTGGGACTCCAGTGAAGGGGACTTTATGTATTGAGGAATTTGGACTTTATGTATTGAGGAATTTGGACTTAAGAATGTGGGAGAGCCCATACAGATTTTCAGTTAGCAGGTTGACAAATCAGTTAGAAAATTCAACAAACTGATTGACATTCTACATGTTTCTTTATTTTTAGAGTTCAGAATGTGTCTTTTTCATTTGATTTGAACTTTTTTTAAGGTAGCTTTTATGATATATTTTTCTGATTATAATACTAATTCATGTTTCTGATTATAATACTAATCCATGTTTATTTTGGTGTTACAAAAAAGAAAGATAAAAATAATAAGTCAAATACTATAACCCAGATAATTACTGTTGAACATTTTAGTGTATTATTTCCATGTATGAATGTCATCTTTTTTTTTTTTAAATGAACTTGGATTTATGTTTTGAATCAGTTTTGTATACTATTGTTGTTTTTTACTTAAAATTTCCCATATATTTTTTACTTTGGCAAATTTCAAACATGTACAAAATTATACAGAATAGTGCAGTAAACCCATATGAATCTGTCAACCAACTTGAACATTTCTCAACTCAGCCAATCTCACTTTATCCACACCCCTCCTCCTTCCTTCCTTGGATTATTTATTGAAATCAAATCCTAGAGAACATCATTTTATCTGCCAATATTCACTGGGTATTCATGAAAACCAAATGACTACATAACATTTAGTCATATGTTAAATGTAATTTACCCATTCTCATTTTGTTATGTTGCATTTATTTTTTTTTAGTATTTCCAGTATTGCTATGATGAATATCCATGTATAGACATATTTGTGTGCATTTCTGATTATTTTCTTAAGCTAAATTCCTAAAAGTGGAATTACTCGATCAGAGGATATAAATATTTATAAAGTTATTTTTAAAAAGATTTTTTTTTACATACTTTTAGAGAGTAAGGAAGAGGGAGAAAGAGAAAAACATTGATATGAGAGCAAAACATCTATTAGCTGCCTTCTGCACACACCCTACCTGGGATTTAGCCCGTAACCTGGACTTGTGCCCTGACCGGAAATCAACCAGTAAGCTTTCGGTGCATGGGATGACGTCCAACCACCTGAGCCACACTAGCCAGGGCTAGAGTTCTTGATCGCTTGCTAGAATTGGGAACATCAAGTTATACTTCCACCACTATAGCATAGGAGGGTTGTTCGAACCCTTGCTGCATTGGGGGTGATCATTTAAGTAATCTCTGCCAATCGGATAGAAGAAAAATTCCACATCAAGTTTCCCTTGTTTGTTCTTAATCCTTTTCTAGACAGTGAGTTCAAACTTGAATAATTAAAAGTCAGATAGTAGACTTACAAGCGATATTGCTTTTATAGAGCTAAAAAGATTAAAATCTCTAAACATTTTTAAAAGATAATCTTCTCAAACTTTATTTCCAATATTCCATGTCTTTGGTTTTGTTCATTTAAAAAAAAATAACTGAGTGTATATTTGCTTAACTCAGATATACAGTTGACCCTGATGAAATTAGGAATTTAGGGGTACCAACACCCCACTCCACTACATAATTGAAAATCAGTGTACTGGAAACTTCTGATCCCCCAAAACTTAACAAGTTGGTTAAGTTTCTGAATCTGGGAGGGATTGGTTTCAGGACCCCACATGGTTACCAAAAACTACACATGCTCAAATCCCTTATATAAAACTAGACGCCCAATGCACGAAAATGTGTGCAAGAGTAGGCCTTCGTTCCCCTGGCTGCTGCCACCAGCTTCCCTCCAGCACCCGGGACCTGGGATTTCCTCCTCTGGCTGCTGGCAGGCACACAGGACCCGGGATTATTCCCTTGGGCTGCTCACAGGCACCCGGGACCCGGCCTGGCTTCCCTTGGGCCACCCTCAGGCACCTGGAACCCGGGCTGGCTTCCCTCTAGTGTCAGCTTCGTCAAAATGGATGTCCAGAATGACGTCCAGAAGATGTCCGGTCTAATTAGCATATTACCCTTTTATTGTTATAGACTAAAAGCCTGTTGCATGAAAATTTGTGCATGTGTGTGGGGTGGGTCTCTCAGCCAGCCTGCCTCCTCTCACAGTCTGGGAGCCTACAGGGATGTCCTACTGATGGCTTAGGCCCGTTCCCCGCCTTAGGCCTCCCTCTGCAGGAGGCGACCGGGCCAATCAGGGGAAGGTGCCGCTGCTGCTGCCTCTAGCCTCTTTTTGTGGGAGGCAACTGGGCTGATCAGGGGAAGGTGCTGCCCCCATCACTCTGCTGCTGCTGCCACTGCCGGCCGCTGCGGCTCCCGGCCCTCACAGCCGTCACAGCTGCTGGCCCTCCTTGGCCCTCACAACTGCTGTGGCTTTGTCTGGAAGAACGTCCAAAAGACGTTTGGTCCATCTGGTCTAATTAGCATATTACCTTTTATTAGTATAGATGGTGCATAATAATGCATACAGTTGGCCCTCCACATCCTCAGATTCCAACTGTGGATTGAAAATACCGTGTTTGATCCTTAGTTGGTGAAATCCATGGATGTGAAACCTACTAGTGTGGAGGCTGACTATTCATTGAAAAAAAAAAATCTATGTATAAGGGGACTCGTGAAAAATAAAACAAACAAAAAAAGAGGACCTGTGCAGTCCAAACCCATGTTGTTCAAGGATCAATTGAATCAACACTTTCATTTCTGATTTCTACTTATTTTTATAAAACAACAAAGGCAAAATTTAATAAAATATCAAAACATTCCGCAAAGACATTGCCAGAACTGAATTATTTGGCTGACAGACAGCATTAACTGGTGATATTCTTCAATATTTATTCATCAAATGTGATTTAAAAGCCATTTGGCATACTAAAGATAGTTTGGGTGCCATATGTGGGTTTTCCAAACTTCATGGCTGCCTTTGTCTTTTTTTAATTTATATTTCTCTGGTTATTAGGAGTATGTAATTTTTCCTGTGTTTAGTGACCACATTTCAGTTTTTTGGTTTGCATATAAGACCAAGCAAAGTTAAAAGTCAACCCACATTTCTGTGCAGTGTCTACAGCTAATCTCTGTTAATGGACAGAGTGGAGTAGTGGAGACTCAGAAGTCAGTGGTCACATAGGTGGCTCCTGTTATATAGGCTTTGGGTTGGAGAGTTGGCTCTTCCCCATGGTGACTTTGGCTAAATTAGCCAACTGTGTTGTCCTTCAATTTCCTTTTCTTTAAAATAGGCATAATAAGAGGATTATCCCTATAGGATTTTGTTATGATTAATAATATGTAAAGTGTGTAGTGTAAGAAAGCTCTCTGTAGTAGAACCTATTCTCCTTCTTCCTATCAGCCATTATTTCTTTTAATATTGCCTCTCTCCTGTTTTCTTCTGGAATTCCTATCAGAAGAAAAATGTTGGACCTTCTTGTTCTTCTTTCTGTGCCTTCTCCCATCTACAGCTGTTTCTCATATTATGTTGGCCCTTGGGGATGTCCTCTTTTCTTTTTATTTTATTTTTTTTATTATTTTAAATATATTTTATTGATTTTTGTACAGAGAGGAAAGGAGAGAGATAGAGAGTTAGAAACATCGATGAGAGAGAGTCATCGACCAGCTGCCTCTTGCACACCCCCCCACTGGGGATATGCCCGCAACCAAGGTACATGCCCTTGACCGGAATCAAACCCGGGACCTTTTAGTCCCCAAGCTGACACTCTATCCATTGAGCCAAACCAGTTTCGGCGTCCTCTTTTCTTTTTAACCCTCTTTACGAAACATTACTTATTATATTTTAATTCATTATTATTATTATTTTTTTAACGCTTAGGATACTTACTAAATGGATGATTTATAAGAAGGATGTTGTTGACTAAGGGCAAAATTTTTTACTTACAGTGAGCATGAAACTTTTAAATGGGAAAGGTTTAGCCGAAACCGGTTTGGCTCAATGTATAGAGCGTCAGCTTGAGGACTGAAGGGTCCTGGGTTTGTTTCTGGTCAAGGGCATGTACCTTGGTTGCGGGCATATCCCCAGTAGGGGGTGTGCAAGAGGCAGCTGAGCGATGATTCTCTCTCATCGATGTTTCTAACTCTCTATCTCTCTCTCGCTTCTTCTCTGTAAAAAATCAGTAAAATATATTTAAAAAAAATAAATGGGAAAGGTTTATATTCATTTTCATTTTTTAAAAGAGTATCTGCCCCTGTAAGATGATATCATAGTGTTTGAAACACTGTTGAGACTGATGTCACCAGAAATTCCCAATGCATTGATTTCCATGAGATTTTTTTTCACCCTGTGATTGTACTGCAACAAGTGAGCATTGTTGAAGTGCTGGGATTCAACCAGTGCTTGGATTTGGAATGGTATACCCCTTTCAAATGGGAAAATCATCTGTCCTCCTGTCCCCAGTTATTATTCAGGTTTGAATTGCAAACAATGACTTTAAAAAAATATATATATATTATTGTTTTTTTTTTTACAGAAAGGAAGAGAGAGGGACAGAGAGCTAGGAACATCGATGAGAGAGAAACATTGACCATCTGCTTCCTGCACACCCCCTACCGAGGATGTGCCCACAACCAATGTACATGCCCTTGACCAGAATCGAACCTGGGACCTTTCAGTCCACAGACTGACGCTCTATCCACTGAGCCAAACCGATTTTGGCAACAATGACTTTCTTGTCTTTATTGAAGCGTGGGTTAAAGTGGAAAGCCACATCATTCCCTTTCTTGAAATATAAAGTCTGTTTGCATTGGGTTTTATTGTACCCATAACTGTTACCAGCATGTGAGGCATGACTCCTCTAGGGCAGTGTTTCCCAAACTTCTCTCATGATGAGAATCGCCTGGTGGAGTTGTTAAACTACAGATTCCTGAATCCCAACTAAGAAGTGCTAAACTAGAATTTTTGGGAACATATAGGTAAAATTGTATACTTAACTAGTGCTGTAGATAAGCACTAGGTAAAATTGTATACTTAACTAGTGCTGTAGATAAGCACTAGGTAAAATTGTATACTTAACTAGTGCTGTAGATAAGCACTAGGTAAAATTGTATACTTAACTAGTGCTGTAGATAAGCACTAGGTAAAATTGTATACTTAACTAGTGCTGTAGATAAGCACTAGGTAAAATTGTATACTTAACTAGTGCTGTAGATAAGCACTAGGTAAAATTGTATACTTAACTAGTGCTGTAGATAAGCACTAGGTAAAATTGTATACTTAACTAGTGCTCTAGATAAGCACTAGTTAAGTATACAATTTTACCTGTATATGTTCCCAAAAATTCTAGCTTAGCACTTCTTAGTTGGGATTCAGGAATCTGTATTTTAACAACTCCACCAGGTGATTCTCATCAAGAGAGAAGTTTGGGAAACACTGCTCTAGGGAAAGCTACTCCATAAGGCACAGCCCGTGGTCCATCAGGGACACTAGTGTGGCTGGCACTAGGGTGGGCTCCAGAGTCCAGACCCGCTTGGTGTCCGGGGTAGGCTCCTGGTGCATTTGGTCCAGGATAAGCAGTTGCTGTACGACCAGGGTAGGCACCAGGAGGTGCCTGTCCGGGGTAGTTCCCGGGAGCTGCAGTAGGTGGCTGTACAGGGTAAGACCCAGGACAGGCGGCCCCCACGTAGCCCCCTGCCCCAGCAGGCTGGTTTCCCCATGGGCCTGGCCATCCTTGAGGGTTAGGGTTCCCAGACGCAGGTATGGCATCATGAAGTGGAAAACTGTCTGCCAGTTTCCCTGCCCCTCGGCACTCACTGGCTCGCTCTGGGTGTGGCTCCTGGGGAGGTCTGTGTTGTCCTCTTAATTCACTGTTTCTGTGTGATTTTAGTAGACTGGGCCAGTTAAGTCCTCCTTGGTTATGATAGCATTACATTATTTTTACACTTAAATCTCTTGGCATTCTGAAAATACTTCAATAGTCATCTACATTTTAGTGTAGCCAATTTATTTTTCTTTTAGAATTTAATTTTAGCATTCAGAATGCTTTTAATTCACGTTTCTTTATTTTACTTAATTGTGTGAGGTGTGATCCTACCTTAATTTCCTCCCTAAATACTAGTGGATCCATAAAGCTTAGCCTTTATCTACCTGAGATACAAATTACAGCCATGTTTACAAAGAAAAGAAAGAAAAAAAAAAATCAGCAACAGGGATAATAATGCTTTTAATAGTAGATATACACAGCATACCTTGCCAACATTCTGTTCCATATTTACTACCGGTAAACAATATAGCATTGACTTTTTGAGAAAAGTTGTTTGTTTTTGCTGGTATCTTCTTGTCTGTTTTAAATAATGGTAGGTAAATTCTTGTGTCTCAGACTTAGAATCTCTTTTTTCTTCTGCTGTAAACCTGAAGGTAAAAATAGCACAATTTTTTTCAATCATTGGTTGATAATTTACTAATATTGAAGAAATAATAAAGCGATATGGAAGGAAGCAGAATGGTTTGGAATTATGGAATATACATTTTAAAGTACTTGTGTGTGTGTATGTGTGTATTCTTAACTTTTACCACAAGAGGTCTCCAAAGGATTTTGTATATTCTGTGTATTGAATTTTATGGCTGCTGAAACCTCATTTATCATATGGCAATTTGACATAGGGTAATTCAGAATAACTATTAGTCAAAGTTTGTACTAAGGTAGATTTTTTTTTTATTTCTAAATAATTATAAACTATCAGTTTTTCTTAGGTTAATTATCTTTATTTAAATGTGTTTATAAGATTTCAACTTGAATCTTAGGAAATCAACCTTATTATCTTGATTGTTACTCTTTCTGTTTGTCTTGAGAATATATACAGAGAAACATTACAGAAAACAGTTGTGGCCCAGATCCCCACCCATGCTAGCAAAGGCTCCTTTAAAAAGATGATTATGGTGATATTATGGGTAGTTCAGCTTTTATTTTTTGAATTTTCCACTGCTACTGTTGAAATAGTTTTGCAAGAAAAATCTTTTTAGCAACTTTAATAAATAGTTTTGGAATTAAATGTAAGCTTCAGAATGCTGTCATAATGATGAAGGTATACTACCTTCTTAGGAAGTTTCTCCTTCCTTGCTTATTACAAAAGAAATTGGGTATAAAAGCTAAAAATCAAAATTATTTGGACACTAAACACCAAGTAAATTCAGAGCTGAGAGAAGGGTACTCATCATGTGCAGAGTTCTGATTGGAAAGAGGAATGTCCCCGGAGCAGGGATGGTTTGTAGGTGGGTTATACAAATAGAGCTGAGTTGCATCTGTTTTACTTACCTGGTAAAATTCTAACTGGTTCACAAATAAACATATTTTTACTTTCATAGTTAAATATTTACTTTAATGTGTACTAAAAAATGCAATTAGGAATCAAATCCGTGATTTCTTAAGTTTGTATTGCATAGAAAAATCTTAAGTTGATATTTGAGTTAAAAATTGTATATTAATTTAAAAAAACCATTCAGATGTAGTAATAATGTGCCTGTGGATGTGGCAACAATATGAAGGTGAAGGGGCAATGGCTTAAGTTAGGGAAATGTGTAGGGGCAATCTATGTCACATTTATCTTGTCATTGTGATTCTGTATGCGTTTTAGATAAATTCAACATAAATGGGACCATTGCTTGGATGAAAAAAAAAATCTGAACCAGAGTTTAGAGAGATACAAATGATGAATGTGAGGTCTAGAAATGGTCTGAGGATGGTTCACTTGACATTTTTTAATAATAGCTCACTTTTCTAATTCAGATATTTTATTCTTCCTTCAAGTTTATTTTTTAATTTAGATAGCTAACAGTACATTTGAATTGATTATCCCTTTCCTGTCCCTATAAAATATCTGTTTTCATAGATATTTCCAGTAGATTCTCAACTTACTTGTACATTCTCTGAGTTGCAAATCATCATTCATTAATCCATTCATTTATCCTTAAAAATATTGATGGGGTGCTTACTGTGTGCCAAGTTCATTGCTACATGGTAAAGATAGAAAAATGAGTAAGATCCCTGCCTTCCAGATTCTTATAGTCTAAGGCTGTGGTCGGCAAACTGTGGCTCTCGAGCCACATGTGGTTCTTTGGCCCCTTGAGTGTGGCTCTTCCACAAAATACCATGGCCTGGGCGAGTCTATTTTGAATAAGTGGTGTTAGAAGAAGTTTAAGTTTAAAAAATTTGGCTCTCAAAAGGAATTTAATCGTTGTACTGTTGATATTTGGCTCTGTTGACTAATGAATTTACCCATCGCTGATCTAAGGGGTGGTAGTCATGGAAGTAAATACTTACGATGAAAGTGGCAATTATGAAGGTCTTATGGAGTAACTGGTGCCTGGAGGAGCTGGGCAAGGCAGATGGAAGGTGAGAGAGTGTGATTTTCTTAGGGGGTAGAAACTAGTTTGGCTGCCTGTTCTGTCAGAGTGAGCCTGGCAGCCTGAGGTAGGACAGATGTGGAGTTTGGGGAGAAAGGTAATGTTAAGTGAAAGTGAAGGAAATCCAAGGTGAATCAGCAGAGAAAAAGCAATGTTAAGGAGGGTTGGATAAAAAGTTTCCTGTGAAAAAGACTGAGAAGGGATGGCTGATGGTAGAAGCTATATCTAGTGATTTTTTGTCCCCAGCATCTATCATGGTAGATAGCATATAGTAGGTACTCAAAAATGTTTGGTGAATGGATGATTACACAAGTGATTTTTGGAATAAGGAGAATAATGAGTATTTCCTATTTGTTTTCCTTATTAAAAAATGATCTGGTTTTATAAACACAGAGATTATGGTAGTGGCTAGAAATTCATACATATAACATATATGAAGATAAATGTATATTTAAGTGACATGGGTGTATCCAGCTCATTTACGTCTTTTGGGAAGACCATATTAATGGCCTAATATTTTTTCCTTATTGTTTTTATTCTTCAAAAATTAAGGAAAAATAATGCCACTCTAAATTACTTTGTTTAGACAGCCTAACATTTCCATGGACATTCCCTTGCAGTAAACATTAATGGAATGTACATAGTTAAGCTATTCTGGACAAGGAATTAGATAATGATTAAAGATTAATATTGATGATCCCAAGGTCCCAGCCTCATCTTTGGCACTCAAAACCTTTTCTAATATAATGCTCATTAGGAAATCTTTTTCTTCTTCTTTTTCTTCTGTCTTTCTCATCTTCCTTATTCCTTGTTTGTAGAGTAGAATATATAAAGTTGACTGCTGTGCCATTCTATTTCATTATGTTTATTGCATAATAATTTCACTTTACTATTTAGAAAATTTAGAATTAAAAAATTGATTACAGTAGTAGAGATGGTAGTGCATTAAATAGTAGAGATAAATCTCACACATAGTAGGAAAATGTCTCTAGGAAAACATTTAAAGAGTAAGTCATCGTAATAAAGAAATCTATTTTGTGTTGATTTTCTTTTAAAAAGTATACTAATTCCTTCTGTGGT